TGTATATTGGACGACATCCTAACAATTGATCCAAAATTTGCTTGTCTACTATAATGAATGAAGAACAATTTTATTTAAATTATTTTTAAGCTGCGTCTCTTATGAACCCATCCCTGCCCTTGTGTGGCAGTGCACAATAGAAAGTTGTATTTACATATTCATACATTGAAACGTATATACAGTCTAGTGTAGTTGATTGTAACCATGATATATATGTGCTTCAGCCTACAGTTTAGACCTATTGTCTTGTGTATGACCCTCTGTCCTGCGTGACAGTCAATACCAGCATTATCCTCACTTTAATAGGATTTAATTCAAATCCTCAGATTAGGTAAAATTGTTATTAAATTTCGTCAATAAATACGTTAATAATAAATAATGATGATTATGTCTTCCCCTAACTCTTAATTCTTCCAGGAACGTGAGGTTTAGTTCACGTAGTGTTTCCTCGTACCTCATACCCCTCAGCTCGGGTACTAAACTGGTGGCATACCTTTGAACCTTCTCCAACTTAGTCTTGTGCTAGACTATATATGGATTCTAAGCTGAAACTGCATGCTTCAGGATTGGTCTGACATACGTGGTATACAAGATTCTGAATGAGTCCTTACACAAGTTTCTAAAGACAGTTATTATGTTTGCCAGCCTCGCATATGCTGATGATGATATCTTTTTGATATGGGCTTCTGGGGGCGTGATATCAGATCGTTCTCCCAAATGTAAACCTGTATCTGGCCTCCTGCTCCCTACATCTATCTGTATTACTTTACACTTGCTTCAATTAAACTCCAGCATCACTTTATCTTCTTGATTAGTATTCCTCTGGTGTGGGGAGTGGTTTTTGTGGGTGTGGCAAGTTGAGAGATTGTTAACAGGGCCTCTGAGGTCAGGTGTAGGGGGGGAGGGAGGTAGGGAAGGGGGGACAGGCAGGGTATGGGGGAAGGAGGGAGGAAGAGGGGAGGAGTGGGTAGGTGGACATCTGAATGGGGATAATGAGGGCTCGGTGTGAGGAGGGTGTGACACACGGGGTGGAGGCAGGGTGTGACACAAGGGGTGGAGGCAGGGTGTGACACAAGGGGTGGAGGCAGGGTGTGACACACGGGGTGGAGGCAGGGTGTGACACACGGGGTGGAGGCAGGGTGTGACACACGGGGTGGAGGCAGGGTGTGACACATGGGGTGGAGGCAGGGTGTGACACACGGGGTGAAGGCAGGGTGTGACACAAGTGGTGGAGGCAGGGTGTGACACAAGTGGTGGAGGCAGGGTGTGGTCACGGGCCGTGTGTGAGGGTGTGGAGGCGCAGCAGCAGGCGCGGGAGTTCCCCGTGTGTCAGTGGAGGTGACTTGCCTCAGTGTGCGAGTCATCGGGCTGCCTGGCCGGGTGTCGGGTGCCGGGTGCCGGGTGCTGGGTGCCGGGTGCCAGGTGCTGGGTGCCGGGTGCCAGGTGCTGGGTGCCGGGTGCCAGGTGCTGGGTGCCGGGTGCCGGGTGCCGGGAGCCGGGTGCCGGATGCCGGGTGCCGGGAGCCGGGTGCCGGGTGCCAGGTGCCGGGTGCCAGGAGCCGGGTGCCGGGTGCCGGATGCCGGGTGCCGGGAGCCGGGTGCCGGATGCCGGGTGCCGGGAGCCGGGTGCCGGGTGCCAGGTGTTGGGTGCCGGGTGCCGGGTGCCAGGAGCCGGGTGCCGGGTGCCGGGTGCCGGGTGCCAGGTGTTGGGTGCCAGGTGCTGGGTGCCAGGAGCCGGGTGCCAGGAGCCGGGAGCCGGGTGCCAGGAGCCGGGTACTAATATAAGACACCAAGAAGGACGGGAAGTGTATTTTCCTGGAATCTCAAAAGTCTTTTGATGCTCTTGCTCAAGAAAGGTTATAGTGTACAAGATGGAGAAGGAGGCTGGTACACCTGTAAAGACTAACCTGGATAAGAGACTACCTGAAGGACAGGGAACAGAGCGGCACAGACTCTGTGCTTCTCTGTGGCACAGTGAGGTTTCACGATGAGTTTTCGAGTTGGAGGAAGGTAGCAAGTGGAGTTCCCCAAGGGTCAGTCCTAGGACCCTCTACTGTTCCTAATTTATGTGAGTGGCCTACGTAACGCAGTGAACTCGTGCATGTCAATGTTTGCTGACGATGCAAAGCTGATGATAAATGTAAAAACCGAGAACCGCAGAAAGTTACAGGATGACCATGATAAACTCCAGGAGTGGACAAACCAATGGTTGCTAGAATTCGATCCCAACAAGTGTAAGGTAATGAAGATAGGAAGAGATCATAAGATATCTACACCATAAGGAGAAGGCAACTAGAGAAGTCTGAAAGGGAAAAGTATTTGAGAGTGGATATAACTCTAACACTGTCTCCAGAGGCACACATGAACAAAACAGTTTGGGCAGTGTACGGGACCCTGACGAAGGTGGTTTAGAGACCTTAACCATGATGCATCTGTCCAGACAGTCTACACACCTGTGTTCCATGGTTTAGAGACCTTAACCATGATGCATCTGTCCAGACAGTCTACACACCTGTGTTCAACCACTACTGGAACATGCATCACACGCCTCGAATCCCTGTGAAGAATAAAACAAAAAACCTAAACAAATACAAAGGTTTAAAACCAGATTAGTGGCAGAGCTAAGAGGGCTAAACTAAGATGATAGGTTAAAGGAAGCTCTCACATCACGCGAGGGAGAGAAACGGGGGGACATGATCGCAACATAAAAGATAGTGAAGAGAATTACAAAGGTGTATACAAGGATAGTCTCCTTCTAACCTCCTGATCTTCCTCGTCCACCTACTGTTCCTTCTCCTCCTATTCTCTTCCTTTTACGCCTCCATCCTTTTCCTCCTCCCCCTTCCCCTCCCCCCTCCCCCTCCTCTTCTAACTATTGACCCGCCACCCAGCACGCGCAGGCCTCAGGACCTGGAAATTCCAGTGAGACGAGAGCAAGCATGAGGCCTGTGCACACGTACATCAGAGCAAGCATGAGGCCTGTGCACACGTACATCAGAGCAAGCATGAGGCCTGTGCACACGTACATCAGAGCAAGCATGAGGCTTGTGCACACGTACATCAGAGCAAGCATGAGGAGTGTGCACACGTACATCAGAGCAAGCATGAGGAGTGTGCACACGTACATCAGAGCAAGCATGAGGAGTGTGCACACGTACATCAGAGCAAGCATGAGGCCTGTGCACACGTACAGGCCTCATGCTTGCCTCGGAACTGTGCAAATAGGATACTGGAATTTATTTCCAGAAGCGTTTGCCATAATATACCTAATGTTATTCTCCAGTACACACAGGAATCACAATAGCTTGATGCATCAAATGAACAAAGCCACAAGGGCCGTGACGAGGATTCGAACCTACGTCCGAGAGTATTCCAGACGCTGCCTTAATCGACTGAGCTACGACAGGGTATAAGAATTACAACCAGAAATTCTACTGAATTTACTTAGCAGCGTCTGGGATGTTCTCGGGCGTAGGTTCGAATCCTCGTCACGGCCCTTGGGGATTTGTTCATTTGTTATTCTCCAGCTTTATCTTACCTTGTTAGGCTCCACTTTTTTTTTTTTTTTTTTTTTTTTTTTTTTTTTTTTTTTGAGATATATACAAGAGTTGTTACATTCTTGTACAGCCACTAGTACGCGTAGCGTTTCGGGCAGGTCCTTAATCCTATGGTCCCTGGAATACGATCCCCTGCCGCGAAGAATCGTTTTTTCATCCAAGTACACATTTTACTGTTGCGTTAAACAGAGGCTACAGTTAAGGAATTGCGCCCAGTAAATCTTCCCCGGCCAGGATACGAACCCATGACATAGCGCTCGCGGAACGCCAGGCGAGTGTCTTACCACTACACCACGGAGACTGCCGTGGTGTAATCTAAACACTTAGATTATGCACTTCAGTTGTGGTCGCCCATACTATAGGATGGACACACATTCATCTGAACTTGTTCAGAAAAGGATGGCAAAGTTATTCCCAGGAATTATAAATCTTTCATGTGAAAAACAATTTAAAAATCTTAAATTACATTCTCTAGAAAGATAATTACAAAAATTATTAGTTTTGCAGACGATGAGTCACAATAACGTGGCTGAAATATATTGATCAAAACCACACACTAGAAAGTGAAGGGACAAGTGTATCTTTTAAACCTCTGTACCCTTTAAACTTCAAAGTGGCTGAAAGAAAACAAAATTCGCTAAAGAAAAATGTTGAGAGCGAGTGATTTCAACGACCAACAGGTAGCAATCTCGCCCGGGGAAAATCTGGGATATATTTTCACAAACCAACAAACACTACGATGATATTAATTCATGTAAAGACGAGCGCTTCTGTTGCTCCCAGCTGCTCATCTCGGGAGAAACACTCTTTACATAACCTGACAGTCTATGTGTGACCCCTGACCTTGAGCTGCCTTGACCACCGTCCTACACCCACGGTCAAGGCAGGCAACACCTTGGATGGATAAAGTGGTCAACTTTACCCATACTGAAGAGTGAAGCCTCTTCCTCTATAAACCCAATTTATCCCAGGCTTTTCATCAGAAATTAATCATCCATCTTCCAAGCGCTTTCCTTCCCAATCATACATTTCATATTCGTCTTATCTATGTTCCGTATTAAGGTACCATTGTACCCATGTTCCGTCGTCATAACAGCGACGATCAGCCCCCTGGCGACCTCCTCCTGCTGTTCCGCTGATTAAACAATCCTCTGTTGATACCGACCATGTATATGATAGCAGGGTGGTACAAGGCGTGGGTGGTGGGGCGGCCTGGTGAGGGTACAAGGCGTGGGTGGTGGGGCGGCCTGGTGAGGGTACAAGGCGTGGGTAGTGGGGCGGCCTGGTGAGGGTACAAGGCGTGGGTGGTGGGGCGGCCTGGTGAGGGTACAAGGCGTGGGTGGTGGGGCGGCCTGGTGACGGTACAAGGCGTGGGTGGTGGGGCGGCCTGGTGAGGGTACAAGGCGTGGGTGGAGGGGCGGCCTGGCGGCCAGGCGGGGTGGCAGTCAGAGGCAGTCAGTGTGCTCACGGCAGTGGCTAGTGTCGGACGCGCTTCTCTCTCTCTAGCGCCGCTGCCTGCCAGGCCTTGAGATCACCCGCGCTCTGCTCCTCCTCACACTGCCTCTTCTGCCCCAGTGGTCCCTGGATATGTTCCTGGTGCTCCCTCACGCCCTCAACGTCCTAGCAGGAGCTCTCAAGTGCTGGATTACTACCCACCAAGTGTGCGACTTTAACAGTGTCTTCCTGCACTCAATAACACATTGAGACTTAACCCGTGAAATATAAATATATATAAGTTTACATAAGTGAAACAGAGTTTACTAGTGTTTGACCGAGGGGTAAACCCAAGGTAAAGTGCGATTCTCATACCCCAAGACCTCGGAGAGGCGTTGTGCTCGCTCAAGACCTCATTACTTCCTTGTCTGACCTGAGGCAGCAGTTCGCCTTCCACAGGTAATGTTTAGTTACGTTTTCTTTGAATTGTATCGTGTCCCCTCGTCTGTGTCTCGTGTCCCCTCGTCTGTGTCTCGTGTCCCCTCGTCTGTGTCTCGTTACTTGTCTTGTGTCCTGGCATGCTCCTTGACAGGATATATTTGTATATTTTATATACATATACATATACACACACACACACACACATATATATATATATATATATATATATATATATATATATATATATATATATATATATATATATATATATATATATATATATATATATATATATATATATATATATATATATATCCCTGGCGGCTATCACTGAAGGATTAAGATAACCACGCCCTAAGTCACATAACCTGAATGCCACACTACCCTGGACGTAACATTTCATTCACCTTGGGCTATAGGTGTCTCGAACACCCGTTCTCTGACATGAGAGGCCAGTTTTTACTTATGTGTGTGTGTGTGTGTGTACCCCCAGCACAATGCAGCTGGGGTGCACGGTACCTTAACCGCTTGACCATCAGTGACCGTACAAAAGACGATGGTAGCCCAGGCTAATTCCCCATCGCCCCGACGGCACTTTGATGGTAATCTCGGGCACAGTTATTTCATGAAATCACCTCATTTTGTGTAGCTACGTGAGCAACACAAATGCGAACAAGCATTGCATTGTGCTCCTGGTGGTCTGCGTTCGAGTCACTTCTGGGGTGTGGAGTTTTTAGTCGCATATATGCCTGGGAGCATTCAAGCTTGGTATATATAATATATATATATATATATATATATATATATATATATATATATATATATATATATATATATATATATATATATATATATATATATATATATATATATATATATGCAACTGGTGATAAAGAAACACTGATCAATGGAATGCGGAAAAGTCCCAGAGAAATGGGAAGGAAATGTTGAACGTTTGGGCTGGGAAGAGCCTTTGTCAACAACAGGCTGAAACGTTGAACTTTTCCCTCTTATTTTTCTGTGACTTTTCCGCATAAGAAAGAAAGATTTCCGCATATACTCATTTTCGCATATATATATATATATATATATATATATATATATATATATATATATATATATATATATATATATATATATATATATATATATAGGGAGTACCACCTCTAGCTGGAAGAAGGGGGACCCATAGCCTCGGAGGAAACCACGCATAACGCATTAGAGGGAATGTTTAGATCCCCTCCAATACAGTTTCTGTGTGCTTTTCTCCTACCACCCCCTTCCTTTTTTATTTTTTGTGCTTAATTATGCATTTGATGGTTACAAGATATACATGGGTTGATACAAAAATAATAATGCAAAAAGGTGCTTAAAGGTTATGGATCTCTTAAAAAACACAACACTGGGAAACATTGATGAATGTCACAGACGGGTTCGATCATTGTTGCAAGTCAAACACTTCTTTGAATTCCTCTGAAGTTGGACTAGTGCCCAAGACGCAACAGGCATTTCCCCTCTGAATCGCAACACTGAGGCGCTGGAACAAGAAACTTTTTGCTCTCTGGTCTTTTGTAGCGCTGATCAATTTGTCCCCCAATTCCTTCAGGAACTTCAATGCACATTTTCCCCACGAACCGAGGGTCTCCGAGCCGATCGGAACAAAGCTGTAGCAGTGTGCTAGACCTCTATATTTAATAATTTTCTGCGATTCCCTGAAAGAAGCAGCACCACATATATATATATATATATATATATATATATATATATATATATATATATATATATATATATATATATATATATATATATATATATATATATATATATATATATATATATATATATATATATATATATACACACACACATATAAAAACTGGCCTCTCATGTCAGAGAGCGGGTGTTCGAGACACCTATAGCCCGTAAAGTCAGGTAGTTGGAAGCCCTCATGGGAATGAGTGACCAGTGTCACAGGTAACTGATACTTGAGTATCTGGTGGACGTAGGAGTAATCTCCCCAGAGAAAGGACGAGGAAGCAAGGGCCTGACATACCGAAAGAGAAACTATGATGAGATGAGACAATTTCTAATAAAAATATCGTTTGGAAACTGAACTCGGAGAAAAGTTTGTACAAGACATGATGGATTACATCAACGAGAAGTGTCAGGAGGATTTAGACACATTTATCCCAGCACAAATGGAACAAAAAAGAAAAAGCAGAGGAATCTTTTGCTTAGATTCTGCTGGTGAGTAATCTGAGTGTGTCTGAAGGTCAGTGTGAGTATCTGAGTGTGTTTGGAGGTCGGTGTGAGTAATCTGAGTGTGTCTGGAGGTTGGTGTGAGTATCTGAGTGTGTTTGGAGGTCGGTGTGAGTAATCTGAGTGTGTCTGAAGGTCGGTGTGAGTAATCTGAGTGTGTCTGGAGGTCGGTGTGAGTATCTGAGTGTGTTTGGAGGTCGGTGTGAGTAATCTGAGTGTGTCTGGAGGTTGGTGTGAGTATCTGAGTGTGTTTGGAGGTCGGTGTGAGTAATCTGAGTGTGTCTGAAGGTCGGTGTGAGTAATCTGAGTGTGTCTGGAGGTCGGTGTGAGTAATCTGAGTGTGTCTGGAGGTCGGTGTGAGTAATCTGAGTGTGTCTGGAGGTCTGTGTGAGTATCTGAGTGTGTCTGGAAGTCGGTGTGAGTAATCTGAGTGTGTCTGGAGGTCGGTGTGAGTATCTGAGTGTGTCTGGAGGTCGGTGTGAGTATCTGAGTGTGTCTGGAGGTCGGTGTGAGTATCTGAGTGTGTCTGGAGGTCGGTGTGAGTATCTGAGTGTGTCTGGAGGTCGGTGTGAGTAATCTGAGTGTGTCTGGAGGTCGGTGTTAGTATCTGAGTGTGTATGGAGGTCGGTGTGAGTATCTGAGTGTTTCTGGAGGTCGGTGTGAGTAATCTGAGTGTGTCTGGAGGTCGTTGTGAGTAATCTGAGTGTGTCTGGAGGTCGTTGTGAGTATCTGAGTGTGTCTGGAGGTTGGTGTGAGTATCTGAGTGTGTCTGGAGATTGGTGAGAGTATCTGAGTCTGTCTGGAGGTCGGTGTGAGTAATCTGAGTGTATCTGGAGGTCGATATGAGAAATCTGAGTATGTCTGGAGGTCAATGAGAGCATCTGAGTGTGCCTGCAGGTTGGTGAGAGCATCTGAGTGTGTCTGGAGGTCAGTGTGAGTAATCTGAGTGTGTCTGGAGATCGGTGAGAACATCTGAGTGTGTCTGGAGGTCAGTGAGAGTATCTGAGTGTGTCTGGAGGTTGGTGAGAGTATCTACAGTGAGTGTGGAGGTCGGTGAGAGTATCTACAGTGAGTGTGGAGGTCGGTGAGAGTATCTACAGTGAGTGTGGAGGTCGGTGAGAGTATCTACAGTGAGTGTGGAGGTCGGTGAGAGTATCTACAGTGAGTGTGGAGGTCGGTGAGAGTATCTACAGTGAGTGTGGAGGTTGGTGAGAGTATCTACAGTGAGTGTGGAGGTTGGTGAGAGTATCTACAGTGAGTGTCTCTACAGGTCAGTGAGGGTGATGGCGCCGCAGCAGCAGCAGTCATCTCCCGCGGGTCAGGGGTCTCCGTCAGCGCCGGCGGCGGCCACCTCTCCCGCCACCCCTCCGGGCCTCCCCTCCCCCACCCACCACCCAGGTAAGTCCCCCGCCCAGTCCCACAGTTCGAAAAATAAAATTCTATATTTTTTGTCCCACAAAAATTAGGATATTGTGTTGTACTTGAACATGATATTCCTGTTCTTAACGTTTAAGAACAGATAATCAACAGATTCCCATGTTCTTAACGTCTAAGAACAGCTTCTTCGCCTAGAGTTCTTTCTGTATGTTTGAGAACAGGTACTATACACGTTCCCTGTTGTTCATGTTGATGAACACACGCACATATATATATACACACACACACACTATTTCTTTCACCCTTGTGCATCTGTTCACCTATCAGTAAATAGGTATCTGGGAGTTAGACAGCTGCTACGGGTTGCTTCCTGTGGATGTGTGTGTGTGTGTGTGTGGATGTGTGTACGTTTGTTAGAAATAAATATGTATGTAGTCGACATAATAGAGGAAAAATAAATTGGTTAGAAAGGCGGGGTCTAAGAGCTAATACCTCGATTGTGCAGATACTAATTGTAAATACACACACACACACACACACACACACACACACACACACACACACACACACACACACACACACACACACACACACACACACACACACACACACACACACACACACACACAAAAATGCCGTGTTTCCCCCAGGAGTACACAGTAATAAGGAAAGAGAGGGAAGGTAGGGGAGGAGGCGGAGTGGCCCTACTCATGAGAAAGAAATGGAGTTTTAAGGAGATGGCCATCCCAGGCTGTGAGGAGTTCAGAGACTACATAGCAGGCACCATGACAATGGGAGGACCAAGAATAGTAGTAGCAGTAATATACAACCCTCCACCAAATGACAGGAGACCCAGTCAAGAGTATGAAAACAACAACAAGGCAGTTAACACTATAATTGAGAGGGCAGCCTCTGCTGCCTGTAGAAATAGATCCCACCTGCTCATCATGGGCGACTTCAATCACGGAAGGATTGACTGGGAGAATAAGGAACCGCACGGAGGCGAGGATACGTGGAGAGCCAATCTATTGGAGGTGGTGACTAGAAACTTTTTAACCCAGCATGTTAGAGAACCCACAAGGATGAGAGGAAATGACGAACCAGCGAGACTCGACCTGGTCTTCACCCTGAACGACTCCGACATAAGAGAAATCGGTTTTGAGGACCCAGTAGGAATGAGTGACCACAGTGTACTGGTGTTTGAGTACCTGATTGAAGAAGGGTTATTGAACTCGAGAAGGGATACCGAAACCAAAAGGTTAGCATACCAAAAGGGAAACTATGAGGAGATAAGAAAATTCCTAACAGATATAGCATGGGAAACAGAGCTCAGGGAAAAGACGACCCAAGATATGATGGACTACATCACGCAGAAGTGCAAGGACGCAGCAAACAAGTTTGTCTCAGTCCAAAAGGAAAACAGTGAATTGAAGATGAGAAACCCATGGTTTAATCAGAGATGTAGTCTAGCTAAGCAACAAAGTTAAAGGGCATGGAGAAACTATAGGAATAACAGGACACTGGAGAGCAGAGAAAGATACCAGAATGCCAGGAATGAATATGTCAGGATGAGAAGAGAGGCAGAAAGACAATACGAAAATGACATCGCAAGCAAGGCAAAGACTCAGCCTAAATTGCTGCATAGCCACATCAGGAGAAAAACAACAGTAAAGGAACAAGTTATGAAATTAAGGATAGGGGCGGAAGGATTCACTACAAACGACAAGGAAGTGTGTGAGGAATTGAATAAGGAATTCCAGGAGGTCTTCACCTTAGAGCAAGGAGAAATTCCAGAGATAAGAGAAGGAATAGCTAACCAGGAACCACTGGAAGAGTTTGAGATTACCTACCAGCGGGGAAGTAAGGAAGTGTTTACTGGAGTTGGATGTGACAAAGGCTATAGGACCAGATGGAATCTCCCCATAGATACTAATGGAAGGAACAGAAGAACTGTGCCTACCACTCTCCATAGTGTATAACAAATCACTGGCAACAGGGGAACTGCCAGATATTTGGAAAGCAGCTAACGCAGTCCCGATATACAAGAAAGGGGATAGACAGGAGGCACTGAACTACAGGCCAGTGTCCCTAACCTGCATACCATGCAAGCTGATGGAGAAGATTGTGCGAAGAAAGCTAGTGGAGCATCTGGAGCGAAAGAACTTTGTAACACAGCATCAACATGGGTTCAGGTATGGCAGGTCCTGCCTCACAGGGTTACTTGAATTCTACGACCAGGCAAGAAAGAGAAGGGTGAGCAGACTGCATATTTTTGGATTGTCAGAAAGCCTTTGATACAGTACCACACAAGAGGCTAGTAAAAAAAGCTGGAGATGCAGGCTGGAGTGAAAGGAAAGGTACTCCATTGGATAAAGGAGTACCTAAGCAACAGGAGACAACGAGTCTGTGTGAGGGGTGAGGTCTCAGGTTGGCGAGACGTTACAAGTGGAGTCCCGCAGGGGTCAGTCCTTGGACCTATACTGTTTCTGATATATGTAAATGATCTCCCAGAGGGTATAGAATCGTTTCTCTCAATGTTTGTCGATGATGCAAAAATTATGAGGAGGATTGAAACAGAGAATGATAGTAGGAGGCTACAAGATGACCTAGACAGACTGAGTGAATGGTCCAACAAATGGCCGTTGAAGTTCAACCCGAGTAAATGCAAAGAAATGAAACTAGGTAGTGGAAACAGAAGGCCAGACACAGGATACAGAATAGGAGATGAAGTACTTAATGAAACGGACAGAGAGAAAAATCTAGGAGTTGATATCACACCAAACCTGTCTCCTGAAGCCCACATAAAAAGAATTACGTCTGCGGCATATGCGAGGCTGGCTAACATCAGAACGGCGTTCAGGAACCTGTGTAAGGAATCATTCAGAATCTTGTACACCACATATGTAAGACCAATCCTGGAGTATGCGGCCCCAGCATGGAGCCCGTACCTTGTCAAGCACAAGACGAAGCTGGAAAAAGTCCAAAGGTATGCCACTAGACTAGTCCCAGAACTAAGAGGCATGAGTTACGAGGAAAGGCTGCGGGAAATTCACCTCACGTCATTGGAAGACAGAAGAGTAAGGGGAAACATGATCACTACCTACAAAATCCTCCGGGGAATCGACCGGGTAAACAAGGATAAACTAATCAACACTGGTGGGACGCGAACAAGGGGACACAGGTGGAAACTGAGTACCCACATGAGGCACAGGGACGTTAGAAGGAACTTTTTCAGTGTCAGAGTAGTTAACGGATGGAATGCATTAGGCAGTGATGTGGTGGAGGCTGACTCCATATATAGTTTCAAGTGTAGATATGATAGAGCCCAGTAGGCTCAGGAATCTGTACACCAGTTGATTGACGGTTGAGAGGCGGGACCAAAGAGCCAAAGCTCAACCCCCGCAAGCACAAATAGGTGAGTACACACACACACCTTTGACGCGCCCTTACCTTCTGGTAATTCCACTCGGCCTTGTATGTGAGCCCAAATATCATGTACTCCGATAACTGTAGCCTGAGCCACGCTGCCTCCCTCCCACACACACACACACACACACACACACACACACACACACACACACACACACACACACACACACACACACACATACACACACACCTGTTCCTGGCCTTCAGGTGTAGTTGTTGTGATGATATGTTCCTTATAGTGGTGTTGGACTTGAGACCTATCACTCTCTACAGGATTATAGTGTTATAATTATAATTGTTATAACTATAATTATAATTTTTATAATTATAATTATAATTATTATAATATAACAATACCTTACCAACAACTTTGTTTACTTTAGACACGACATTAGTTCAAGACAAAACTAAATCATTAAGTGTCTATACACATAGAACTGATATACACTTGTGGATATATATATACATATATATATATATATATATATATATATATATATATATATATATATATATATATATATATATATATATATATGTCGTACCTAGTAGCCAGAACTCACTTCTCAGCCTACTATGCAAGGCCCGATTTGCCTAATAAGCCAAGTTTTCATGAATTAATTGTTTTTCGACTACCTAACCTACCTAACCTAACCTAACCTAACTTTTTCGGCTACCTAACTTAACCTAATCTATAAAGATAGGTTAGGTTAGGTTAGGTAGGGTTGGTTAGGTTCTGTCATATATCTACGTTAATTTTAACTCCAATAAAAAGAAATTGACCAAATACATAATGAAATGGGTAGCTTTATCATTTCATAAGAAAAAAATTAGAGAAAATATATTAATTCAGGAAAACTTGGCTTATTAGGCAAATCGGGCCTTGCATAGTAGGCTGAGAAGTGCGTTCTGGCTACTAGGTACGACATATATATATATATCGTGGTATATCTGCCGGGGTTGGTATTACTGGTGGAGTTCCTCGTATCATCAACGGGAACATTAATACGCTCAATAATATTAACAAAATGTAAAGCTGCCGGCTGGTGAACTTGAAGCTTTAATACAAACTATAATTTAAGCAAGACTAGTGCAGGTGTGGCTGGCAACACACCTGTCCAGTGTGGCCTTAGTGGTCAGGTGTGTGTGTGTACCCGGAGACTAGTGCAGGTGTGGCTGGCAACACACCTGTCCAGTGTGGCCTTAGTGGTCAGGTGCCTTAGTGGTCAGGTGTGTGTGTGTACCCGGAGACTAGTGCAGGTGTGGCTGGCAACACACCTGTCCAGTTTGGCCTTAGTGGTCAGGTGTGTGTGTACCCGGAGACTAGTGCAGGTGTGGCTGGCAACACACCTGTCCAGTGTGGCCTTAGTGTTACAGAGGTGCCACCTCTCTTCCTATAAGGAGGGGGCCTCCTTGGTATGGTAGCGCCTGCCCTTGTATGTGTGAAGGACTTGTCACGTCTTGACAAAGTGTTCCTATACTGTGTTGTTCACGAGTCGGTATTCATCAAGTGAAGCTCCATTCCTCGCTGATATTTATATTGGCCAAGACAACTGTAATTCTGTTTTTCTTAAAATCAGATCGGAGGAAAA